TTCACCAAAGTACAGGAATATATATGTGGTGATATAGTGAGATATATTTATTTGGTATAACTAGTGCAAGAGTACTATGCACTTAAAGCTAATTTACTTTCTTTTGGGGCGGGGCCATACTGGGGATTGAACCCAGAGCTTTTGCACTAAGCTACATCTCTAACCACCCCAACCCTTGCCTTTTTGGGACTGGGTCTTGCTAAATTCCCCATGCTGGGTTCAAACTTGGAATCCTCATGCCTCAGCCTCTTAGGATTATAGGTGTGTGCTTCCACATGTGGCTAAGGCTCATTTCCTTTATATATGTCATAAAAATGTAGCCTAAGTTAAACTACTAATAAAGTAAAATAGTAGAATAGAAAACCACACTAAAGAGAAAATATAGACTTACCAAATTGTATAGAGAATTGTGTATATGGTAATTATTTTTGTTAAAGTCAAATATGTGTATCTCTTAATTTCTCACTTTGATGTGCTCCTTTTCCCACTTAAAATGCCATGTTTATTCATGTCGTTGATATCTTTTTTCTCCCACTTCTTGAGTGCAGACACTGTTTCTCTCATTCCACAACCTGTCCAGAGCTTAGCATGGATCTTTATAGTAATGGGAAATCTTTCAAAACATTGCTAAGTATGCCAAACACTCTACTAAGTGCTTTATATCAGTTATATTTTTTGCCTACCCTAAAGCTTTGTATAGTGCTGTTTTGATCCTGATCGGTAAGTATAATCTATGCATGAGGTCACCAAAGCTCAGAGAGGTTAAGTGACTCATCTCGTGTCAGATTGGTTTTAAGCCCAAGTCTCAATTTTAAAGAGTCCATGGTCCTTATCATTACTCATTTTTAAATTTTATTACCACTTTATTATTACCATTATCCCCCTCTTGATAAGTAGACTATAATAAATAATGCAGTTTGTATTTTAGTCCAGTCCCTTTTAAACACAGAAATTTACTACTGTGTGTGGCCATCTCACTTAGTTCTTTAAATATATATTTTTAGAAAGCAGGGGATTGTTGGGATTATGATTTGTACTTTAAAGTACAAACTTTTTAAAGTCTGTCTGTCAGTTTTCACAATGTGGAAATCCAGCCATTGAGAGTTGAATTCTAAAGCTCCTGTCTTTTGATTTCTTCTCCCCCCACCCCGTACTGGGAGATTGAACCCAAAGCCTGAAGCATGCTAGGCTAGCACACTGTCATGGAACTACATCCCTAGCCCTGTCTGTCCATCTGTCCTCCCTCTTGTCAGTCCTCCCTCCCACCCACCCATCCACCTTATCTATTTTGAGGCAGAATATCACTGAGTTGCCCAGGCTGACCTAAAACTTGTGATCCTCCTGCCTCAGCCTCCTGAGTACCTGAGATTACAGGCATGTAGCACTGGAGCTGACTTAATTTCTTTTAAAAATGTTCCTCTACTTGCTTGCTCCTTCTTTCCTTCCTTCCTTTTTTTTTAACCAGGGTTTTGCTGTGTATTCTAAGCTGTGTATTGCCAGCTGGCCTCAAACTTGTGACGCTCCTGTTTTAGCCTCTTAAGTATTGGAATTACAGGTGTACATCACATGCCTGACTCTGCTGCTTTATTTCTTATTTTCATTAAACAACTATTCTTATTTTTTTCTTGTATATGAAAGATAATAGCTCAGACTAAACCACTTGTATAGAAGTTGAATTTAACACACGATTAGAGAAGAAAACTGATGAAAAAGAGTATGAAGGATTTCTTGGAATCCCTAAATTTGTCTTTTTCCAAAAGTGGTTCATAAATGCTAGGAAGATTCTTATTCCTCAAGAGTTTCTACTTAAAATTCAAACTTGTTGGGCCGGGGATTTAGCTCAGTGGTACTGCCGCCTGCCTCGTAAGTGCAAAGACCAGAGTTCAATCCCTGATACAAAAAAAAAAAAAAAAAAAAAAAAAAAAAATCAAACTTGTTTACATTCATTCCAGGTTTTATTTTTTTCAGTACTAATTTAAAGGCATTCCTCATTTAACAATGGAGTTCAGTTCCTGCAATTAGATTGCTAAATGAATTGGTCATTAAATGAAGAATTGTATATATTACAGTATATACATTACAATATTCAGAACAAGAAATGGTCAAAGGGAACTTCAACTTAATGACTTTGTTTTTATTTGCATAACTCTTAACATGTAGTATTGTAATGTCTTAACAACAAAAAACTACAGAACTGGGAGCTGTGGCTTTGGCTCAGTGGCACCGTGCCTGACTCACAAGCGCAAGATTCTGAGTTTGATCCCATGTACAGGAAAGAAAAAAGCCAAACCCTACCCTACAGAACTTTATAGTACAGGCAGCAGAAATTACAGTACTCTATAAACGAGATGTACTGTAAAAAGTCATTGAAACTATAAACAAGATGCATAGAAAAGTACAAGTCAGATTGTAAGTCTGAACAGTCGTAGATCGTTAAATGAGGAACATTTGTTTATTTTAATTTTGTAAAATGTGTTAGGAGTAACAGTAAGGAGATGTGGTTAAAGGGATGTCAGTGGCATTTCTGTATCTTAATATTTAGTTCCTAGGTTTAAGTCATAAAATCTGATGAATTCACTGCTTTGAAACATTTGTTTTTCTTCATCTTATAAAAATTCAGCAACTAGGACTGTGTGGCTCAGGAAATCAGTAAGAGAAACATGGGAGTTGACCTCAAACAACTGAAGCGTTGTCATGTGGGAAAAGATTTGGCTCCTTTTGTGTAGTCCCAGTGGATGGAACCTACGTGTGGAGTTGATAGGGAGACTTTCAGTTCAGTCTAAGGAAGAACTGTCAGGTATGCTTAGAGTGGGAGTTGGTTGCTGGGGAGAGAGTGCAGTGGTCTATCTGGAAATTTGACTGACTTCTTGGTGTGTGTGGTAGACTCAGATACCAGGCGGAGTAACGTATCAGACCTGTCCCACTCTTAATTATTTACCAGGAAATAGGGATGAGAGGTAGAAACCCAACAGCTAATTCAAGGTGAGAAAGAGAGTGACAGTAGAGAGAGGACAAGAAGGAAAATTGAGTGTTCATTATGTCCCTCCCATCCAGTAGAGTGCAACATAGTTAATGTTTTCTCTGCCGGGGACATTTAATAAATCCTTCATAAGAGGTTCTGCAGAACTTGAGGATTTTTTTTTTTTTGCATGGTTGCAGAGATTGAACAGTTGTTTTTGTAATCTTCTGGCTAGAGGCATCGAATGATGCTAAGTCAGAAGTGTTTAAGGTGTCAGTCTTAGGTGCAAGGAACGGCTTCTGTCAGTTGATTTTGTTTGTTTGTTTTTTGTTTTTGGTACTGGGGTTTAACTCAGGATCTTGCACTTGTGAGACAGGTGGCAGCACCACTGAACTAAATCCCTGGCCCCTGATTTAGTTTTATTTCTAGTAATTTTCATAATACTATCTTGTTACATTGAACTAAATGTCAGCAGTAGGATTCGGGATGAGTTCTTTTGTTCTGAATGTTTGGGTATCTGTACTAAGTAAAAATGTTGTATGAACATATTTTTAGCATTGGAGATTGATGTAGGAATGAAGGCTGAAGGCGGGTGTGATGGTGCATACCTGTAATCCCCACACTCAGGAGGCTGAGGAAGATGGATCGCAGAGAGTTCAAGGCCAGCCTGGGCCCCATTGTGGGTTCAAGGCCAGCCTAAACTACATATGGAGATGCTGTCTCAAGAAAAAAAAAATCAGTAAAAAGGCTGAAATTGATATATGTTTGTTTTCAACCAAGACTTAATGATTTCTGGGGTAGGGTAAGGTGAAGAGTAAGAGTTGAATTTTTTATGTCCAGCCTGGATTTAATTCTTGGCTCTACCATTCACTACCTACATCACCTTAGACAAGTGACCTAACTTCTGAGCCTCAGCTTTTTCATCTGTGAAGAGATAGTATTTTTCATAGAGTCAGTGTGAATGTAAATGGGATAGTACAAGTTAAAAGTATATACATGGTTAAGAGCTTAGTAAATGTTACCTTGCTCTATTTTTGTGGTAGCAGACTTGTTATCAGAGGTCATTTTGGAATGAGTTGTTTGTTTTTGAGACAGAGTTTTGCTATGTAGTTCAGGCTGGCCTTGAACTAGCAACACTCTTTCTGCCTCAGCCTCCCAAGTGCTGGAATTACAGCACTGGCTAATTCCACAGTTCTTTGACTGGAAAGAAACCAGCAAGGAAAAGGGGAAAGAGGTTGTTTAGAACTGGTAATAGACACTCTTCTACTTTTGTTTCTTTCTCCTCTCTTCTCTGAAGAAAGGTTCAGATAGAAGTAGATAGGTAGATTTGAGAATCTTCTACATCAAGAAATGCAAAAAGTTGTTGAGGATGTTGTAGGAGTAAAAGGAAAGGGTTGAAGATTGAATCGTAAGTGGCACAGATAAGGGAGGAAGGAGTTGCTATATTACACTGGAAAATGCAGCTGGAAGTTGGGAGATCTGGGTTCTAATAGTCTCATTCTCTCTATTAATGGATGGTGTGCCTACCACTTCCTTGCTATACAGGTTGGACTGAATCACTAAGGCTTCTTGTGTAGCCAAGATTTTCCAGCTGAATCTCCTTGGAACCAGGAGCAGGTGAATCAAGATAGTAGCAGTCATGTCCTTGAAACAGGAATATGAAGAACAAGTAATAGATGTTATAGAAATAAAGGAGGATGAGGGCTGAGGAAAAGGGGAGGTACTCAGGGGGCCAGTTCGTCTAGAACAGGAACAGACAATAACTGCTATGTGAGATTTACTGTGGAACACCTACATGGTATGGAGAATTATTCCAGATCTCACTAACGTTGTAGATAACATAGATGTTAATAAAATTTACCTGAATTAAGAAAAATGGAATTATGTGTTTTTATCAATAATATATAAATCAAACTGTTTGAGGTTTCCTTTCAAATTTAAGGTTGGGGGAAAATTTAGTCTGTTGCTAAGTAAGATACAGCTAAATCTTATTTCTATTTGGAATTTTAATTGTAATTCTTGAAAATTTCTTTTTTTTTAGACATTCTTTCATTATGGATGGAGAGGATGATGGTAACCTTGTTATCAAAAAGAGGTTTGTGTCTGAGGCAGAATTAGATGAACGGCGCAAAAGGAGACAAGAAGAATGGGAGAAAGTTCGAAAACCTGAAGATCCCGAAGGTATATAGGCCTATGGTTGGGCACATAGCATAATAAATTTTAATCCTTACAGTGGCCCTGCCAGCGAGGTATAATTGTCCCCACTTCAGAGCTGAGTCTAAGCTCACAGAGCAAAGTAACCTATATAGTCTCTGTAGCAGACCCAGCTGTATCCTTGTGCTTTCCTGTCTGCCACACTTTCTTCTAGAAGATTCTGCCAGACTATTCTACTTACATGGATGGATCCGTGCTCTGAACAACAGAGTCCTGCTGTTGAAGAGGGTTTGAGCTGGCCCCTCATCTAGTTAACTCTCAGGCTGTGGGTCCTACTGACATTGATAGTTGGCTTTGAGAACTTCTGGCTCCTCTCTGGGATCCAAAGGGAGGCTCTCGTCTTTGTACTGTTTTTGTGTTATCTTGCCCTCAGTTCATGCAGAGACTTGATTTTATCTTTAAAACTCTTTGTAATTCCAAAATAATATGAAAACATTATAAAGTATATAACCTCCCCACCCTCACCCCGTCTTCCTTTCAGAATGTCCAGAGGAGGTTTATGACCCTCGGTCTCTCTATGAAAGACTACAGGAACAGAAAGACAGGAAGCAGCAGGAGTATGAAGAGCAGTTCAAATTCAGTAAGCTTCAGAAAATACAGTCAGGGGAACTCTTTTTGATGCACTTTTGCCTCATGCCATACTTTCTAACTAGCAGTGGAATTGTCTTGATTATTTAGTCTTGAAATGCTCATTTGGTAGAAAAGAACTTTATGTCTTCTAGATCACATTGAACATTTTTATTTAGAGCTCAAGATACCCATTTTCATTCTATGTTAATATCTACTATTGGGAAAAATGCTTTGATTTTATGCCATATTATCTATCTAAAAGTGGTGGTGTTTTCTTTTAATCCCCTGAAGAATCCACCGTTTATTAAGAAAGAAGGGTGGGGAGGAAAAGTCAAATAAGACTATATATTTTCCCTTTAGTCTACTTAGTGTTCCTTATTTAATTATTTCCGCAGAAAATATGGTAAGAGGCTTAGATGAAGATGAGACCAACTTCCTTGATGAGGTTTCTCGGCAGCAGGAACTAATAGAAAAGCAACGAAGAGAAGAAGAACTGAATGAACTAAAGGAATACAGAATATCCTTTGTATTTTTCTTCTTTTTGGTACCGGGATCAAACTCAGGACCTTGTGCTTGCAATGCAGGCATGGTACCACTAAGCTAAATCCCTGGCCTCTTTGTATTTTGAGAGATATCTATGAAGTGTCAGTTTCCTCATAAATAGGAGGAAGGTCTTCTATTTGTTAATCTTAGCCCGTTTCAGCACTGTTATTCCCGTCACTCTGAATTACTGGCAGTGACTTGTAGAGTCTCTGTTACATGTAAGAGTCTGTTGGGATCAAAAATCTCTATCCTTTAGGATTAACTGTGGACATAAATCCTAATAGTAGCAGGATATTCTTGTCTTGTGGGATTAGTCTCTGAGACAGATGGGCAGTGTAGTCATCTTCAGGGGAAAAACTGGCTTCAGAGTTTTAAAAGGACATGTTTAGCAGCTGTCCTGTGTTCTTAGCAAGATCTTCCCCCTTGATACAACTTGGTCTTTCCCCATAGAAAGCAACAAAAATTATTTCATTTTGCTCAAGTATTGCAACAATTATTGCCTTGTTGGAATCTATATGTATGTCTTTTTGGGTGGGGGGTACCAGAGATTGATCTCGGGTCCTTGTGCTTGCAAGGCAGGCCACTGAACTGCTGAGCTAAATCCCCGGCCCCTATATGTATGTCTTAATAGACATTGTAAAATGTAACTTGACCAAATCCAGATTCTTCTTTCCATGCCACCCATGCAGCTTGCTTCCAATGCTGTCAGCCAGAGTTTCTCCTTTTTCTGGTCTTCAGGTTCAGTAACTGATGCTTCTGTGTTCCCAGCTGCCAGGGCCAAAAATTGCTTCCATAATGTACTCCAAATCTGTCTTTAATTCTTGCTGTCTTGAATGCCTCTGTAGCAGTTGTGGACTTTGCTCTGAACTGTTAATGATCTAACAGGTTTCTTTAAAAAACAGTTTTTTCCCTCCCGAAACATTTATCACATTTAAAGTATAAATCAAATATGCAGATCCAGATATATGAATGAAATTGTAATTAGATTCTGTTTCTGCTCTCATCCCCAACATTCTTCAGACAATAAAGGGAATTTTTAAAAACCTACTTGGCATCATGTTATTTCCTATTTGTAACACTCTAGTGACTTTCTGTTACATTTACACAAAAATCTACATTCTTTTTGAGTTCTACAGGGCTCTACATGATTTAGGCTAACCCACCTCCCTGATGGCATCTCGAAGCCATTCTTTCTCATGCAGTGTACTCAGCTTGCTGCCTTCTTTATGTTCCTCTGTCACACCAAGCTTTGACTCCGTCTCAAGGCCTTAAACTTGCTATCTTCTCAGCCTGTGGTGTTCTGCCCTCACATTTTACAATGTTGGCATATCACAGCATTCAGTTCTCAGCTCAGAACTCTCACAAGGCCTTCCTTAATCACCCACCTACGGTTGCACTGATTCTGCTTCTGTCTACCATTTTGTTTTGCTTTTTGGTTTGTTTTTGGTGCTGGAGCTTGAGTCCAGGTCCTTGTGTATGCTAAACACACACTGCCACTGAGCTACATCCCCAGCCCTGTAATAACATTTTTCTTGTGAGACAGTGTCTTGCTGTGTAGCTCAGGCTGAAGTTCAAGGACTTGAACTCGTAGCAATCCTCTTGCCTCAGCCTTCTCAGTGTTGGGATTACAGGTGTGAACCACCATGGCTGGCTGTAATGACATTTTTAAAAAACCGTACTATCACTATCTGAAGATTTTTGTTTGCTTACCATTTTTTTTTTTTAAATAGTACTGGGGATTGAACCCAGGGCCAGTACATTGAGCAGCATCTCTCATTGTTTTTTATTTATTTTGATACAGACTCTCAATGAGTCACTCTGGTTGCCAAGGCTGGGCTTGAATTTGTAGTCCTACTTCAGCTCCCTAGAGTGCTGGGATTATAGGCGTGTGTTATCATGCCTGGCTTTATTTTATATCTTTATTGCTGAAATGTAAAATAAGTTCCATAAGGACCAAGACTTGGTCAGTACTGATTTTTCCAGTGTAGCAGCTTCTTAATAAATATGTGAATAAATTAAGGTATGACTCATAGCAGTTGTTAATAATGCCACTGTAACTTTTTTCTGTCTGTGGGGATGCTTATTTGGATATTTCAAATTTATATTTTGAGTAACTTCACTACTGTACTTGAATAGGCTTGACCTCTAAGATTGGTGATGTGACTTTTTATGTGCTGGTTGGCATTTCCTTCCAGGAAATGTGCAGTAGATTCCATTAAAGAGTTATATGGGAAAGGGGCCATGGATTTAGCTCAGTAGTTCCATCCCCTGCCTTGCAAGCACAAGGACCTGAGTTCGATCCCTGGTACCAAAACAAAAAAGAGTTATATGGGAGAAAAGGTGGACAGGTCCCCTAGGATTTGATTTAGATCCAAACTGGTAGCAAAAGTCCTGCTTCCCAGTCTCTAATTAGTGTAGGTGCAAAGTGAAGATCAGAGTTGAAGAAAATCACACCTCAGTCTCATCTTAGGACTGAAATTGATTCTTGTGAATGCTCCTCCACCCCTTCTCTGATGACCTGAGAATAATATATGTTGACATTTGTAGGAATAAGCTCATACACATATATAATAGGATTGTTTCAGATGCCGCATTTTTTTCCTATAAGAAAATACATTAATTACACTTTTACTTGAATTATGTCTTGTTTTATGCTGGCTGAATAGCAAATAAAACATAGACTCTCTCCCAAAGGAGTGTTCTGAAGAGGAGGGCTGTGAGTTGGATGCCTTTCAGCTTCTAACTCAAAGGAAAGAAAGAAACAAACTTTTTTGTCCTGGTAACAGTACAATAGAGCATTAAAGATGCTCCAAGGGCTATTGTCTTTAATTAGAAACTTGGGAATGTCTGACTGTCTATAAGAAGTGAAGAAAAGCAGGCTTACCAGCTCCTGATATATAATGCACTAATCTCAAAAGTAGAAGTAGCCAACGCCTTGTTGAGTTAGGAATGGGAGGAATAGGCAATTAGATTAGGAGTTGGCTCTTGGCTTTGTTAATTATCACATGATATATTTTATAATGTGACACTTTAGAATACAAGTAAGCTGTGTTTTGTGCCATGTAAACAACAGGATTGTAGTTGTTCCCTCTTAGTTTAAACTGTTATTTTGCGATATTGTGAATATTTAAAACTGCCTCATCTAATGAACTTCTTGAGATTTTTGCAGTCCACTTTTTTGGGGGGAGAGGGATTCCGGGGATCGAACTGTGCTTTTGAGACAGGCAGCGGAACCACTGAGCTAAATCCCTGGCCCTCTACTTAACATTTTTAAAGCATTTTGAGAGGAGGGGGACTTACGGGGGAAAAATCTTAGGCTTTGGATGTATATTGAAAATAAGATACTGCCACCCTCTCACCTTAAAAGAATAAAAAATTAAATGTTATTTTTTATTTGTGTCCTGGTATTAATGCTTGTTATATTAATTTTCTATTTTTGTTTTACTTTAAAATATATAATATTGAGAGTTTTCCTTCAGAGTTGCTGTCCCTTGTGTTGGTGCTGCAAGTGAAAATCACACATGCTAATGGTTGTAGGCACTCTGCTAGAAAGATGAAAAATTTGTTTATTTTTTATAAAAATAAACATGTACATGTTTCCACGATGACCTTAAAAACATCAAATCAGTGGAACTCAGTACTGAGCATTATACATAATCCCCCACCTAATACTGCAGCAGCTGAAAGTAACCAGCACCTAACAGTGTTCAAAGAATGATCAGAATGAGAATGTCCATATTTGTGGTACCCTGCTTTCTCTATTGCTCAAAGACTTAACCTCAACTGTGTGTCCCCCACTTCTACTCTCTGTTTTGGCCTACTTAGCTTTCTTGGGCACTAGATGTCACTGTTGTTCCTGTAAGGCACTACTGCGATTTAAGAACTTGCACCAGAATGTGTACTTATCTGTTGTCAAATAAGTTGTGAAAAAGGGCAGAAAAGAAACAGGAGGGAGCTGGTGGAGAAAGCAATAGAAAGTGACAGACTTTGAAAACCACAGGTTGACATCAAGTATGAAAAGATAATGTGACATGTTCTCTATTTATTCTTTTATAATAGCTTCCAGTTCCTGAGTTATGTTTGCACAGGGCTTTCCATTAAAATCACCTTAAGAAAAATGTTAAAACCAGCTCCTGGGCATGTAGAATTCCTCACTCAGCTGACTGGGGCAGAGGAGGGACTATGTCTCAAACAAGCTGGATTTGACTGGTAGAATGAGGGAGGAGTCTCTCTTGGAGAGTAAGTAGGCTAGATATTACATGGTACCACCAAACGGCTGTTGTGTTATATTTGTCACTGTTCTCATGATTTACCATCACCGTGGGGCAGCTCTTCCTTTTGCTTAATTTGACCCTTAACCTGTAACTCACAGTAATCTCAACAAGGTTGGAATCTCTGCAGAAAACAAGAAGGAAGTGGAGAAGAAACTGCCTGTGAAACCAATTGAAACCAAGAACAAATTCTCCCAGGCAAAGCTGTTGGCAGGAGCTGTGAAGCATAAGAGGTCAGCCAGCTCTCAGAGTAAATCCCTCTGCATGTGCTCTGCAGTGCCACTTATAATGGTAGCCAGTGCAGAAGGTCACTTAGCACAAGTCTCTGTGAAGTTTCTTCAGTGTATTCACCTCATTGTTCTTCCAGATTTGGCATCTTCTGTAGCCTTTGACCCTTGTCTCTTTGATCATTTATTCCACCAACATAATAATAGCTCTTTTTCATTTAGCACCTCCACATGTCAGTCATTGTAAGTGTTTCCTGTGAAAGATATAATTTATTCATCTCACTAGTTGTATGAGGTACATATTGTTATTACCCCTGCTTTACAAATGAGAAGACCCAGAACCTCAGAGGTTGAGAACTTTTGTCCCAGGTCACACAGTAATAAAGCGGGACTTCAGTATTAGAGCCTCTGTGTTTCAAGGCAAATGAGGTAGCAAGTCCTGTGAAAGGATTAGATGGGATAATAAGCGCAGGAAAAGGAACACAGCTCTGCCTGGCAGGTGTATGTGCTCATGCTGGGGAAGTTAAAGGGAAGACAGTAGAAAGATCCTGACTGGGTGAGAGACCAGGGCTTTGACAAGCAGGCAAGCGAAAGACCTCTCAGGCAGAGGGAATAGCTGCTGAAAAGACACTGAGAAAACATGACGGCTGTGACAGGGTTATGGACCTGGCCGTGGCCCAGTTTGATGTGGTGGTGCTATTTAGAGCTTTTGCTAAGCTCTCTCATGTTTGCCCCTTGTTTCTGAATCCTGAAATGGCACTAGAGTGATTGAATATGGTCATTTCAGTTTGATCAGACTATGGGAAAAAGATGTTAAGTTTAAGTGTAGTCTGTTAGGAAAATCAATGTGATATATTGGCAAGCAGCCACATGTTTTGAAGAGAGTGTTGATGCAGTCTTGTGGTTTGGCACATTGTTCATCTACTGCAGATGTTCCTGGGAACATTGCCTACATGTAAAAATGTCATCATGGAACAGTAGAGAGGAGTGAGCAGCCTAAAAAGGGTCTGTTAACAAGCCACAAATTCTTTCAAGATCTCATGTAAGCTCCTAACAAAGTCCAGTGTCTTATCAGGATGTGGGATCTGGGTCACTCTTACTGGACTGGGCCAGTCAAGGGCTCTTGCTGGTGCAGGATGAGTATTGTCTTTAGATCACCTTTAGAAAGGACTCTGCTAACTTATCTGGAGATCTGCATAGAACCCCTCTTGGGTTTTGAAACTACATTGTTTAATGTTGCTTTGTGACAAATCAATCTCCTAGGGCAAGAGTTCCTCCTAATCTACACTGCCTTGGGTTTATTAGATCTCCTGGGAGTCTGAATAATGGAGATTTCCTGCCAGGCAAGGTGGCACACACCTGTAATCCCAGCACTCAGGATGCAGAGGCAGTTGGATGCTGCAAGTTCAAGGCCACCCTGGCCACAGAATGAGTTTAAGGCCAACCTAAACTATATAGCAAGACCAAAAAAAAAAAAAAAAAAACCC